CAAATCATCATATTTGTTGTCAGTAAATTTATATTCTGTGGCCACAGCAGTAGTGACCGGGCTGAGAGGTTAGCAGAACAAGCTCGGAAGAATAAGTACCACAAGTACGTTGACGGCCATCTCATTCTCAAGCAGGGACTTCTCTTAAAAAGAAGGGTACATTTATTATCAATTGCTTTATTTCTCGTCCTTTTTCATTCGTCTTAAACCTTAATTTGACAAACCCTGAGTCGAACAGTTTGCAGCCAACAAATTTTCATTTATTGCTATTTTCACAAACTCAGTTTGTTAAATTTTTCAAGCACCCTTGAAAATGCATTTTTTAAACGCAGTCGAAACATATCTGACGCGTTGTGTATCAAGGTAATCAGTCAATATCAATAAAACTTGTGATGGGGTTGATGAGCAATGTTTAAATAAAAGTAACACTATAATCTGAATGCCTACACGCACACACACACGCGCACATATTAGTACCTGGGCTGGCGAGCGCTACCAAGAATGTTCCTGTTGACCGAGGGGCCCCACCTCTATTATGTTGACGATGAAGCGGATGAACGCAGAGGGGAAGTTGAGTGGTCAGTTTGATTTAATCCATAATCATTCACTCACTCGTTCTTTTTTTCGTTTGTTCATTCATTCATTGTTTGTTTGCTTGTTAAGGAATTAAACTGTAAATATACATTTTAACTTTATATTCATCTGATCTTCGAACATTACCTTTCATAAATATTCAAGAACATTACCTTTCATAAATATTCAATTCTTAGTTCTGAAAAACAGGTGCTATATAGTTTTCTGATATTAACTTAATATTAAATCTAGCAACATATTTTTTTCGAGATGGCCATATAAGTAATTTCTTCAGGTCTCCATTAATAACTTTATTTTAATTGAAAAAAATTGAACTCTTAATTTTTTTTTTTGATATTTTAGTATTTAATAAAATTTCAGTTAATTTGTTAGATATAAAATGGCATAATAATTTTTTTAAAGGACCGAAGAACTGAAAACAGAAGTAATTAAGCCTAAAATTTTCTATTTACACACGGTTAGTTAAATCTTTTATTTCTTCATATTTTTCCTCATGAACATTATTTCGTTATTTGTAACATTCGATTTGAATTGATAAATGCCAACACCTGCTCTCCATCCTCACACACATCACATCTCAATTGAATGTTGTAGCCGAAACGAGTGTACTACCTGGAAGACCCATCCGCCAATGCCGCCAAATGGTGCCAGATAATTGAGCAGGTTGCCAGGCATTACTTCGCAGAAGAAGCTGGAAGTAACTCAAGGAAACAGTCGTCACCACAAATCCAGCAGCAGCAGCCATCCTAAAATGTGTCATCCTTCATCTTTCCCACAGTTTTTTTTAAATCTGTTCTACAATTCATAGTTTACTACTTTATTATTTCGTTATTTATGAAATGAGGTCGACCGAGAGCAGATTACGGGCGAGACTTTGTCGAAGATTAAATCAAATAGAATTTTACTGATGTCATTTGACTCTTCGTTCTATTTCATTCGCATTCATTCTTCTATCATTTTGGCTAACAATTTTTCAATAAATAATATTTATTTACTTGCAGGTAGTAAATCATGAGCTATATCCATTATCTTTAAATGTTAATGTGAATTTTTATCTGCTAATCATTTTCCATCTTTGATAATTTTATTTCAAATTTCTGCATCGTTGACATTTGAAAAGTTTAATTTCCTTTAGACATAAACAAATATATGTATAATTAGTATGATTTATAATGATGATTCAAATGATACAAATGAGGGTTACATTTTACAAAATGGTCAATTCTTAAATGACTATTTGGCTAGTGTTAAGTTGTTGTTAAGTTTGTAGTTTATTCTTGTAAGCCTAAGTTTTCAATTCATTCTTTGAGGTAGGCGTAATTTTTTCTAAATTTTAATGTTCTTGTTCGAATTTGAGAACTATTCAAAACGACACAAGT